CACAATCTGACCAATCTTTGTTATAGATTGGGCAATTTACTGGGGAGATAGAAACAGTTCTGGTGCAAGTATTGAGGTTTGGATGGGGTTCTGTGCAGGGATGGGTTTACCATATAGATCAGTTAGATAGGATAATGCTATAGCTTGGTTTTCGGATGTTACTGTGACAAGACGGGAGCGGTCGGTTAGGCTACGGAAAGACTTTGCCTACTTGTTATTGGACACATTGCTGGAAGAGAAGGGTGTTGTCAGAATAGGAGCTGTGGGAAGGATCCCGAAAAATCGGTCCCATATGGCTGGGCTAAATAGAGTATTTAAGATTTTTGTAGAGATGGGGGTAGAAGTATAGGGGCGTGTGGAAGAGGGAGTAGTGTTGAAGGATGTTATGGAGAGGTGGGGAATAAGGCTGTAAAGTATTAATAAGGATGGATGGGGTAGTTGATGAAGAAGGTTGTGGGGGTAGAGGTGTTGAAGTTGAGCATGTTGGGAGAGTAGAAATGTCTCTTGGGGGTTGAGTGTTGACTAGGGTGGATACTGTACTAGTAGGTATTGAGGAAGGGGTAGTTGTTGTAGTGTTCGGAGCCGTGGTCAAAGGAGAGGCTGGGGTCAGGGAATCAGGAGAGTTTGAATTGTTGGGGCTATTTGATGAAGGGGCAAGCCTCATTGCCCCTAATAGTGGGATTACATCGTTATTATTGGCCATGGTAAGCCAGGAGTATGTTGGGGAGAAAAAGAGACCACCCCTCAGGGTCCCCTTGAGGGGTAAGGGCTAGGTGACTAAAGCAGGGGAATACCGTGCCCATGACTCCCTCAGGCCGTTCAGGACTGCCACAAAGACAGCCTTTCATCCTTTCAGCACGGCTCTTACACCTTAGGAAGTGGATAGTAGAAGGGATTGGTGAAGGGACAGAAACGAAAAAGTAGTAGTGGAAAAAAGACCATGCAAAATTAGTTGAGCTGAGGGCTGAGTCCCAAGGTCGATCATTGGGTCCCAGTCTGCGCCTCCCAAGCCACCCCACGACAACAGTGGGGAATGTTTTATTGGGTCAGCAATGATGTTAGGGTAGAATTTCAAAAAGAATAATTTTTCTTTAATACTTGTGAGGCTATAAAAAAAATATATATATATTTTTTTCTTTATTCATTAGGGCATGACTGTCTGAATACAACTAGATGATACAACTGTATGTTCCACTATTCTGCTTAACATTCTCTTACAAAAAATGAAAGTCCAAATCTTGTATATCAATCATCCTCAGCCGATTCTCCCAATCAGCTTATAAAAAGGCTTAATGTTCTACCCATAAACTATCCAGTAATTTTATTAGTATATATATATATTCTTTTTTTTCAAAAATAGATGAGGCTAATTTTTATCCATTAAAATAATCTCGAGAAATTTGATTTTCTTCAAGTTCTATGTGCTTGAATCTTTATATAATATAGCTTCATATAACTTATATATACCAATAACTCAAGGTGCTTTTTCCTTTATAAGACATTTATGAATAATAAGTCCTATTTATTGTATCCACTTCTTGCTGTATTACAGATGCAACTTATGAGTTATGATCAAAAAGAAGCAATGCCTTTTTTTGCCATAACATATTTATGTTAACCTACTGATAGCAAAATAACATACATTTAATCTGGCCAAACCTTGTTACCGTTATACATATGAAAATTAAGTACATTTTCAAAAGTCCTCAGTTGCATGCTTTCCCCCTTTACTGACATGGGTGATTGTCCTCTCTGTTCAATACCCTGTAATGAGTACAACTGCCAATTATGAACTAAATACGACTATTCATTATATATATATATATATATATATATATATATATATATATATATATATATATATATATATATATATATATATATATATATATGAGCCCTCAGGTACCATATTTAGATGTCACAATAAAAATTGGTAATACAGAGACTGCACTAGTTACAAGTATAACTAAACTGAATACAAAACAACAAACAAATTATTATATCAAAATAAATAATATTGAAAAAATATGGTAAAAAAAATAACTAATATACCAAACTTTTTCCCTTTTCATTCATTTTTCTATTCCTCTTGACTAGCATCAAGTATGGAAGGTCCCTTATTAACTCTTGAACAACTAAATACAACAAAAAAAGAGAGATTTTTTTTTTCTAATGCCAAACTCAGTGTGGTCAACATTAAACAACACAACTCTCTTCATTCAGTCATAATCATCACAACTTCACTTTTACACAAGTTCCAGTTAAGGCAGTACTGTAAATGCTACCATAGCTCTACTGACACTAAAATCCTTAAAGTGAGTAAAAGTTAAAAATGGATGATATATTATGTATATGCCTGTCTGTGTATTACATAACTAAAAACATGTATAACTGTAAGGTAGAAGATAATGTAAAAGGATCTACAAAATTCATGTAGTATTGAAGCCCTAAACACATGACAAGGGACTCCATCTACCTAGGCAGTGTTTCAAATTGGAAATCAGAGATAATAAGTACTTGTATTGTGATACTGTCTATTAAACATACAGGTCAGCACGACATAATGGGCTACTTTATCATTAGCAAAGTCGTGGATTATTTCTCATAGATATCAAGCTTTCAAGAATCACAGATACAATAATAATACCTCTTAAATCTGAATTATACATCAAAGTGCCAAAATGGATACAACACATAAAATAAGAGATGAATACTTTGGCAGAATCATATAACAAATACAGGTTATGTTCATTTTTGAAACTATTTCACCTATATGTTTGTTTGTTTGTTTTTTTACAACAGTAACGCAATTCAGAGTATTATCTAACTATTACACAAATGCAAAAAATTGCACTTATCCTCAAAAAATAAATTATATCATTGTATAGTAAGTGTGAGGTAAATGTAAAAACATCAGAAGCTTCCAATGTCAACAGCACTGGAAGATGGTACATACTTGTACACTCAAGCCATCAAGAAAGTGTTGGATCTGCACATGCAAGTGAACAGCACCTCAAATGAAGGCATGAGAGGAACTGGTAACCATCAAAATACCTGTAAAATGCTTTTACAAATAAAAAAATAACTGTAATTCTAAATAAATGAATGAATGATTAATATCTATATAGTATAATCTGTCTAACATCACTATAGGCTACTGCTATTTCATATATCAATATCAACTGGTATGAAACTACAGAACAAGTGGAAGCTCCATAATCACATATTCCTATCCCACAAAATATTCTAAATTATTTTAATGTCAGATGTACTACAAAAAACATTAAGGAAGAATAACAAGAAAAGTAAAAGAGGAAGACAAAGTAGTGGTAATACCAAGTTAATTCAACACTACACACAACCTTAACTGTAAAGGATTTAGATTTAACAAGTCAGGAAGTCCAGTAAGTAAATGCAACAGCTTAATTACTATTTCTTAATGACCTAACATCATATGATCTGACAATATGATCAGCATCAGGAGCTATTCTAACTTAAGAATATTGGTCCAGTTTTAATAAATACTGAATCGACTCCAAATGAAAGAGATACAGGTGAATTTCAGGTAAATTTTAACATCTTCTCAACAATGATCTTTAATCAATTTAATTTATAAATTAATGCAGCAAACTTTGTTTAGTCCTCTCTCTTTAGATGCATCTGGATGACGTCATATGAACGTTATACTTTAACTGTAGAACTATTATAACTCTTCGTTATTAAACACAAAATACCAAAGAAATGAGAAGATGACTGTACAGCATTTAAGCCTTTGGTTTATCTGAACCCATATGAGATCAGAATCCTTGATCTTTACTTAAATAATATATAAAAAACATACAGAACTAAGAGATAGTCTACCATTAAATATTCATCTCAGTAACCTGAAGATTGAACTGAATGTGTTATTCTTGCTATTCATCTAGAAAGACCCAGACTTCACAATCTGAATGGATCTCAAGAGCTTACAGAAGATCTGAGGGCCTTTTTTCTAACAGCTAATGCTAAATAAATGTACTTTCATTTAATGAAAATATATACCAGTACTATATTTTTGTGAATAACAACAGATATTACTTTAACGAAATGCTAATAATACTATTTCAAATATAAAAAGCATATAGTCTATTAACAAAAAAATGATAATCAACCTTAACATCTGTGCTGTGACTGCTCTCTAAATTGCAAAACATGCAGGATGCAGCAAACTAGACAAAAATCAAGTCAACTAACTTTCTTATATTACAACCTCCAAAATATCCTGAACCAGTTTATTACACAACTCGTAATATCCTATGTCTTTTATCCCTTTCAAAACCTATATCTTACATAAAGATAGGAAATAATACAACAAGAATAACAATAGGCACTTCACTTCTACATCTAATAAATCTTTATATGTGAACTACCACATTTCCTACTCCTTTGACATCACTATTTGCTGTGAGAGCAAACCTGTCACATGATTAATATGTTACTATTCTACAAAGCAAGTCAGTATTATAAAGGAAAAAATAACAATGGTGATTACGTAGAACCAAATAAATAATGATCATTAGGGATGAATATGATAATGAAAAGAGGAAAACTGTTTTTCCTTCACTGGTCAGTAACATGCAACGTCCCATGAGCAAGGACTTGCATAAAAAGAGAAAGAAAAAAAAAATCTTACTTATTAGACTAAGAAACTATTCTTCCTTTACTGTGGATTTTCCAAATGCTTCCCTGACCTTTCCAATGAAATCTGTAAAGAGCAGCGTTCCACTAAATACTAATAATGCCCCTATCCAGTGATACAGAGTAAATGGGTTCATGAAATAAATAATAGAGAAAATGAGAGACAGGAATTTACGCAGAGTCAGGACCAATGTCACTGTCAAAGAAGTGCATTCTGATGTCAGTGTAAAAACTGAGCTAATACACACATATCTGAAAAAAGAACATAAGGAAAATACACATGTAATAACAGTATCAAACCACCTATACTTTGAAATTTATTG